GCTGATGGCTTGCACCATTTATCTGAATAAATATTGCAAAAGATTTTTTTTTTTTTGCTTATTCCTAGTACACATGGTACAGGCCATGATATTCATGGTGGGTAGAAGTAGGCGACTGCTTTTACTGTAAGTGCACCATATGTATACACACGTGAAAAGCAGTTCGACTTTGCACTTACAAATGTGCCAGAGCCCCGTTTGGTTACTTGCACTCACTGGTGGGGTTGGACTTTTGCAAGAATCAGGGGCCATTGGAGCATTTTTTTTTAATCAGAAAAAAGTGCCCAATGCGGGAATTGAACCCGGGTCGTAGCGGTCGAAAACCAACGGTTTAAACCATCCTTCCACCGATCCCCTATCGGAAAAGATGGTGCAAGCAATTAGTATCTTTTATTTGCATGATCAGGAGATGCCTTTCTTATAGTTTATCATTCTGGTTTCAGTACAATTTCTCACTTTTGTACTATTTTTTGTCATTCAGCTGTTTTGTTTCAACATCAATGACTTGATCTGAGATTGTAACTGTAGTATATTAGCTAATTAGTTTAATATTTGTTTTTATTTAATTGTTTTGCACAGAGTTAATGATGATAATTGTGTGTATATGTATATTACAAAAAAGGCATCTTCTTATCGTGCAACTGAAAGTTGCTGATGGCTTGCGCCATCTATCGGAATAAATATCAACTATTCTCGTTGATTTTTAATTATTCCAGAATTGGCCAAAAACCCATGCTTCATTAATCAAGAAAAGCTAACCACGGAAGCGTTTCGGGCTGTTGGCCCTCATCAGCGTGGTGCAAGCTGTATCTCAACGACCAAAAAAAAATAGTCATTAAGGCATCCTGAAAAACCATGAAACGGGTAGTTAAGGACAGAATTGCGTGAGACCACGACACAATGTGAAAAAATAGTACAAATGTGATATTGTACTGGGATAAGGTGCATAAATTAAGAAAAAGGCATCTTCTTACTATATATATAGTTTTTTGTGTATATAGTCGTCGTTTGTATTTGAGTTGTGGAATCATGTTAACTATGTTTGTTGTTTGCATTGAAAATATTTTCAAGTCTCCTGGCTAGAATATATTGCAGTAACGAATGAGTGTTGTTACAGATCAGGATCCTTCTCCACCAACCCGCAGTATGGTTGGAAGCTCTTCTCCCTACGAGTCTAGTTCGCTTATGAAGCCAATGCCACGCAAGACCCGCGCCCTCATCAACCCTTTCAACCCTTCACGTGTCACCATCAAGCTAACTTCTAACCGTAGGAGATGGACCCATGTATTTCCTTTGGGTATGTATATCCTCAGCAATGTGGAGCATGCGCAGGAATCATGTCTCTGCGTAGGGCCAACTGGGATCTTCATGCAACAGCATCACTACCAAGCTATTCCTCACAACCAAGGCACACTCCTCCCTACAGACAAGATACACCAGGCTCCGCGCAAGTACCGGCTACCACTGGATCATCCTGATATGTTTGCAGGTAACTGTACTTAAGTACTTAAACTGTGGAAAATTTTGCAAAAATTAATAATCTACATTTTTACAGCAATTTATATTATTCTGAAAAAAAAAAAATAGAGCAATCCATATTTAAATCTTTAGATTTTAATTATAAGTTATTCTATTTATTCTGAATGTAATTTTAATAATAATTTTTTTTTCATGTACAAATTCCCCCCCCCCCCTCCATCACCTCCTTTGTATTTTGAAAAAATTATTAAAAAAATTATACCAAGTTTTCTCCTGCAGAAGGGTGTTCCGAAATATAGAGAATAAAAATGTTTTAAAAAGATACTTTTCCCTGGAGGCGTGATCAAATTTTACTAAAAAATTATTTCAACTGTTAGATATTATAACATTATGCAGCGCTGAGTTTGTTTATACAAAATGTAATGCCTTGACAAAGGTTGGGATTCAGCCAACTGAAATATTGGTAAATTTAATCTTTTATTTTAATCCAATATTTGCTTTTTTATTATCTAAAGAAATTTAAATATAAATGGAATGCTCAATTGATATGTTTATTACTTCTCTTTAGCCCAACTTGGATAAGTTACACTATTTGTATTATTGATTAAATATTTTCTCTTCGATAAAATAATCCTTTGTTTCAATATTAAGGTGGTACATGATAATAATCATCCCGCAAATTTATGTTGAATATATATATATTGTAAAAAAAGATTTTCTGTTGATTTTGGAATTTTCTCAGGTTGTTTAAGGATACATAAGTATAGAAATAAAGGTTAGAAATAGTCAATATTTCACCTTGAAATAAAATTTTGATTTTTCATTGAAAAGAAACTCATGCGGTGTAACTTCAAGTGTCGTTTTGCAATCACAAGCCGCAGTGTATTGTATTATACATAAGTATGTTTGTGATATTGCAGACATGTGAAAGATATTAATAAAATAAAGGTTGAATCACAATTTAATTGGTCTGATGAATATAATTAAGAAGAAAAATACCTTATTTGAGGCGTAAAGAAGAAAATAAAATTTTACATATTTACATTTGTACAAAATATTTGAGCCGGCCAACGGGAAACAACAACGATGGATTTATATAGGGAAACCACGACATCTGGAGGTCGACTTTACAGAGTAATTTATTTTAGAATATGAAAATTATTCTAGTATAGATATGGAAAAATCAAAACATTCCCGAAATTTCCTCAAATGCGATTCCCAACCAGCCAGTCCTGAACATCTATTGAATATTATCAAATCCTCCAAAAAAGGGAAAACCCCAGGACTATAATAGAAAAGCTGAGACAAAGGAACCTAATGGAGATCGTTTAAACGACTTGAGGAATAAGAAACAACAACATATAGTGCGCTATTGTGTCACTGCTGTGTAAATTGAAGTAACAATATATATGGTGTGTGTACAGAGGTGACAGAATGGGAGCAGAAACACCACCAAGACAGACTGCCCACCTCCGCTAGCTCTGTCAGTCTGGCCTCCAGTGGGGACAGTGAGTTGGTTCTTTCCACATCTCACTCATATTGCTTCCCTTCTTCTTCTTCTTCTTTTTCTTTCTTATCTCCACAGAGATTTGACAACCATCATGATTGGGTGAAGTAGAATGTGTCTGCCTTTGTCATTAAGACTGGGAGCACTACTCAGTGGCAGGCCAATTTAGCTCCAAAAGAAATGGCTGCCTCTGACATGAGGAACAGACGCCATGTACAGCCGCTCCTAACATGGAGTACAAACACTGCTTATCCTGTATCCCTGGATTAGGAGCCCTTACAGGGTACTATCAGCCGGGCCAGCTGAGCCCAGGTTTTTTAGTGAGCTTGTTACTGCTTCCCCTCCTCCTTTTTCATCCAGGGTTGGGACCGGCAAAGGTGGAGTTTTGGTTCCCTTTATATATATGTGTGTGTGTCATTTGGCAATCTATCCCTTCTTGGTTTATAAATATTGCTTTCTTATCTCCACTTAATCCTTATAAAGGTTGTCAATTCTGTGGATCTCAAGTTTTTATGAAAGTGTCTCATGGATATCATGGAATGGAGGTGGCTTTCGTTGATCACATGATCAAGGCACACTTTGGTGGAAGTCTGATTGTGCCTTATCAAGTATGTATATAACTCCGCCTTTGCCGGTCCCAAGTCCGGATGTAAAAGGAAGAGGGGGAGCTACAAGCTTGCTAATAAACCTGGGCTCAGCTGGCCAGGCTGATAGTACCCTGTAAGATCTCCAGAGATACAGGATGTACTCCATGTTAGAAGCGGCTGTACATGGTGTCTGTTCCTCATGTCAGACATTACATATTGGAGCTAAGCTACTGAGTAGTTGTCCCAGTCTTTTTGTCAAAGACATTCTAATAAAAATAAAATAACAAAAAAGGTCAGGTGTTGGTATTAAAATAAAAAAGGCATATCCTGACCATGAGTACATGAGCTTTTTAGATACCAGAGCTTTTTTTGCTTAACCCTAGTACACATTCAACTGACTGGGTACTCCAGGAATATGGAGGAGTTGCGTCTGTACTCATATTAGAGTCGGCAGCAAAGGCTTCCATGTTAGAAACGACCTCAAATTACAGGCAAAGTCAGACTTTCACCAAAGTGTGCCTGGATCATGGTGCCATGATCAACGAAAGCTGCACCTTTTTACCCCATTCCATGAGATCATGAACTCATGGAATTCGTGTAATCTTTACACAAGGGGATAAGAAACAACAACAACAGATACCAGGGCACCATTTAGTGGAACACAAATCAACTAATTTATTCTAATTATACTAATTTAACTAATTCTGTTCCACTAGATGGCACTCTGCCATCTAAAAAGCTCATGTCTTGTGGTCAGGATATGTCTTCTTTGATTTTAATGGCATTCTACTTCACCATATCATTATAGAGCTCTACAAGCTTGATACCCTGATATGATTGAGAGAGTGGAGATAAGAAAGAAGAAGTGTTTATATGGAATGTTGTTGACCAATTTAGAGATTTGATCTTGTTACCTTATGTTACATTAAAATAAAATTCAACTCCTGAAATGATTGCTGAAAGAGAGATGTGCAGGTTGGACTAGGACTGGAGGCCGTACATCCTCCCGGCAGAACAGCCGGAACCTGACCTGGATGTGGGGAGTCACTGGTGAACAGGAGTGGACCCCGGCCATCACTACTGGTGAGTTCTGTCACTCAGCTATCTGACTAACCGGCCGAAGTGTCTATTTTTCATTGAAATATGAATGCCGCTGGCCAGGCAGCCTCTATCTTTACACCTATCTGAGTTTTACTTTTTTTTTATTATCCCTAGTACACGTGGTACAGGCCATGATAATCATGGTGGGTAGTTAGCGACTGCTTTTACTGTAAGTGCACCACATGTCTGCACATGTGAAAAGCAGTTTGACGTTGCACTTACAAATGTGTCAGAGCCCCGTTTGGTTACTTGCACTCGCTGGTGGGTTTGAACTCTTGCAAGAATCGGGGGCTATTGGAGCATTTTTTTTTTAAATCAGAAAAAAGTGTCCAATGCGGGAATCGAACCCGGGTCGTAGTGGTCGTAAACCAAACGGTTTAACCATCCTTCCACCGACCCCCTTCCACCCACTCAGCTATCTGAGTTCACCGAGTGACGTAACCCAAGTCTATACATTTCATTCTTATATTTATTTATTTCAACACACAAAACGTTATATCTCGGATAGGGATAATTGCATTGATTTACATTTTTTTAAACAGAAACAGTTATAAACATATTATAGAAGAAAAAGTAATCAAAAATAAAAAGAGAAACAATCTACTTATATAATTGCCTTATTCTGTCTGTGTGAAGTTCACTGTCTGAAGTTCACGGATAGATTTTGGTCATCAACGCGCGCATCATCATTATGATCATTATCTAATGATGTTAATAATAATAATTATTATTATTATACTTATCTACTTATATAATTGCCTTATTCTGTCTGTGTGAAGTTCACTGTCTGAAGTTCACGGATAGATTTTGGTCATCAACGCGCGCATCATCATTATGATCATTATCTAATGATGTTAATAATAATAATTATTATTATTATACTTATCTACTTATATAATTGCCTTATTCTGTCTGTGTGAAGTTCACTGTCTGAAGTTCACGGATAGATTTTGGTCATCAACGCGCGCATCATCATTATGATCATTTTCATTATCTAATGATAATAATAATAATAATAATTATTATTATACTTATCTATTTATATAATTGCCTTATTCTGTCTGTGTGAAGTTCACTGCGTGAAGTTCACGGATAGATTTTGGTCAGAATGGATAAAATAAAAAAAGGGATGGGATTGGAATCGAACCCACGACCTTCCGCTTACCGGGCAGATGCCATGACCACTAGGCTACCCTGGACATATTTTTCCGTTCACATTTTCATTTTTATATTTTCAAGACACACACAGTTTGGGGCGGGACGTTTCACAAGAGAGACATCCACGGCACCAATTTATAATTGTAACGAATAGTATTTTAATTAAAACATTTTAAAAACACACAGTTTGGAACGGGATGTTTCACAAGAGTGACATCCATGGCGCCAATTTATAATTGTAACGAATAGTATTTGAATTAAAACGTTTTTAAAATATATACGCACTCGGGTAAAACCCGGGCGTTGCCCGGGCCATTCGTCTAGTAATATATATTAGAAACCTGAACCTTCCAGGTTAGAAAGATAATCATAAATATATTTACAAAAATAGTTAATAATTCTCTCTGCTATTTACAAATTAATTCTTATAAACTAACCAGTAAATGATAAGGCACAATTTGAATTATAAACACAATATAATAAGACACCAAATCCAAATAAATAAATAGTGTGTGATGTTTCGGTAACAGTGTTGTTACCATCTTCAGACAAAAGTACTGAGTGTGCGTCATTAATATATCAAATTTCCTAACCATGTTAATATCAGGGGTGGATTGGAAGTCCCTGGTGATCCCAGCCTGTCTCCCCATCACCACGGACTACTACCCGGACGACGTGACCCTCAACAACTCCTATGAGGTCTCAGGGGACTATCCACTACATTCTGAAGCCATTGGTTCTGACTTGGCTCTTCACAGGTGATGATTGGTTCTTTTTTTTTACCCGAGTTGTGACACTCACTGGATTCTGTTTATATGTCTTCATACAGAGATGGTTTCAAATCATTCAGTACATTCCTCTATTGTTCTGATATGAAATATAGGATCCTGTAGCGACCATACATGTGCAACAATGAATGGCCTATGAGTCAAATTTGAGTCTTTTGAAACAATTTTGTAAAAGTGACCAGATAGGTTCTAAGACAATCTATACCAATTTTGATAATTTCTTTTGTAAGACCAAAACCCTGAATAAGGGAAGAAACTCCCATCTAAAAATGTGAATTAACTACCGAGTTATGAATTTTTTAAAATTTGAGTATTTCGGACCAATATTGCAAAAAGACATGATTCTGTTTCATGACAACCTATATCTATTTTGATATGGGACAAATTTGAATGGACTTATCTACATATACCCTAGTTATTGCTTCTTTTGAGGTCTTGGTAATATAGGATATTTAAAATTCACCAAAGATTTTTTTCATAAAAAATACAAAATCACGAGGAGAAAAAGTTTCTTGTAAAGTTTTTCATCTAGCTGAGCTTTCAAGCTTATCTGCCCTTCTAGAAATGCTCGAAAGAGATTGGCTGAATAAAAACTTAACAATCATATTTTCACCTAATGATTTTGTGCTTTTGATAATATACTGCTTCAGATGGTTAATAAAATTATGACAAAGCTTTTTTAACAAAACTGTGGCTGACAGCTATGACAACTGGGATGTTACTCAGATGTTTCCGAGGAGCTGAGGAATCCAAACACTACCGGCCTCTTAATGCCAAGGAAGCTTTCTCAGAGCTTATTTGTCAACGTTTACAGCAGGTGGGTATTCTTTCATCATTTATCTTGACATTGTGTTGAAACACTCCTGTATTCTGAGCATTGTGGTTGACCTGCTTCAAGTCTTCAGCAATTCTTCATTTGCACAATCAGGAGATGTTGTTTCCATGCTTATATACAGTTGAATCTGTCTGTAGCATCCCCTCTAAATAGCGCCTTCCTCTCTATAGACCCCGATTTTAAATACGTAGTACAATGAGATATTTACATTAAAAGTGACCTATCTATAACACCCCCTCTCTATAGCCCCCGATTTTAAATACGTAGTACAATGAGATATTTACATTAAAAGTGACCTGTCTATAACACCCCCTCTCTATAGCTCCCGATTTTAAATATGTAGTACGATGAGATTTACATTAAAAGTGACCTGTCTATAACACCCCCTCTCTATAGCCCCCGATTTTAAATACGTAGTACAATGAGATATTTACATTAAAAGTGACCTGTCTATAACACCCCCTCTCTATAGACCCCGATTTTAAATACGTAGTACAATGAGATATTTACATTAAAAGTGACCTGTCTATAACACCCCCTCTCTATAGCCCCCGATTTTAAATACGTAGTATGATGAGATTTACATTAAAAGTGACCTGTCTATAACACCCCCTCTCTATAGCCTTCGATTTTAAATACGTAGTACGATGAGATTTACATTAAAAGTGACCTCTCTATAACACCCCCTCTCTATAGCCCCCGATTTTAAATACGTAGTACAATGAGATATTTACATTAAAAGTGACTTGTCTATAACACCCCCTCTCTATAGCCCCCGATTTGAAATACGTAGTACGATGAGATATTTACATTAAAAGTGACCTCTCTATAACACCCCCTCTCTATAGCACCCTATTTTGGTGAGTCCCAAGAGGGGGCGACAGGTTTAACTGTATATATATTTTATAAATTTATTATTTATACAGTAGAACCTCCATGAGAGGACACTCGTGCTAGAGGACACCTCTCTACAAAGGACAGTTTTTATTCGTAAAACTTATCATTTTTACTATTTAGCAACTCTCCTGTAAGAGGACACCTCTCTCTAAAGGACACTTTGATTCTGAAATTAGGTGTCTTTTACAGGGAGGTTCTACTGTGTATATATTTAGATATAAGGCATATATTGGATTGAATAAAAATATTTATTTGCAAATATATGACTTTTTATTACCTACGATTTAAATATGGATTGCTCTATTTTCAGAAATATAAATTATATATATATATACACTCATGGATAAAACTTAAGTAAGTTGTACCTTTCAACATGTATTTTGGGATTCAGACAATAACTCTGAAATATATTACAGTGACCTTTATTGAAGACACACGAGATAACCAATATACACTCATGGACAAAACTTAAGGTGCAAATTCTTTATTCAAATTTTGCATATCTCTTTTCCCCATTTCCAGTTTTACCAAGCTATGTCAGTGCCTTTATTTACCTTTCTTTATTTTGTTTGAAAGATTTAAGAAATGTTTTTCTTTCAGGGTTTCCAGATTATCCTGACCCCGAAGAAGACACCGCAGAACACTGAGGTACTGAAGTTCCATATACATTATTGTAGCTTATCTGTCACACACACATATACTGAAATATTCAAGTTAAATGGGAATAGTGTTGAGGGATGTATTATCATATGCTCCAAGTAAGTTATTTATATTTATAATTATGTGTTTCTATTGTGTCCTCAAAGCTTATGTTAATAGTTCATTCAAAATACCTTATTCAAAATGGTTGCAGGGTTTCCCACTATGTACTAAGCGCAATTCTCAGCCTGCAACCCCAAGATACATTATTGACTGTATTGACTCATCCATTGATGAGCTCTACTCTTCCCCGGCAGATACCATCAAAAGTCTCAAGCTTTACAAGCTTGATACCTTAGTGTGATTGAGTGGAGATAAGAAAGAAGAAGACCTTATTCAAGAGTTCTTTTCACCCTCATCAGAGAAAAGTACAAAAGTACATTCAGTATTTTTTGTCTGATGATGGTAACAATCCTATTACTGAAACATACCATTTATTATTGATAATTAGAAAATAACAACAAAATCTACTCTACCTGCCCAAAATGTAGCTTGGAACCTGCAGCTCCAGAACACATTTTGGCTTACATTAGATGCACTAAACAGGACCTTTGGGCGAGGCTGCTGCTTATCATCAAACAGCTGGAGGAGCATGGACTCATGGAATTGGTGTAATCTTTACACAAAGGGATAAGAAACAACAACAATTATGATGATAAGGCATAATTTGGATTCTAGATTATAAACTTAAGGTTTTTTTTTGCTTATCCCTAGTGCACATGGTACAGGTCATGATAATCATGGTGTTGTTTCTTATCCCCTTGTGTAAAGATTACACGAATTCCATGAGTTCATGCTCCTTGAGCTGTTTTATGATGAGCAGCGGCCTCTCCCAAAGGTCCTGTTTAGTGCATCTAATGCAAGGTGCATAATCATGGTGGTTAGAAGTAGGTGACTGCTTTCACTGTAAGTGCACCACATGTGAAAAGCAGTTCGATTTACAAATGTTCCAGAGCCCCATTTGGTTACTTGCACTCCTTGGTGGGATTGGATTTTTGCAAGAAATGGGGGCAATTGTAGCATTTTTTTTTTAAATCAGAAAAAAGTACCCAATGCGAGAATTGAACCCAGGTCGTAGCGATCGAAAACCAACCGTTTAGACCAACCTTCCACCAACCCAATGAATACAAGGTAATAAAACCAAATCCAAATAAATAAATAGTGAGTGACATTTTGGTAACAGAGTAAACAGAGATCTTGTGTCTCCATTGAAGTTCTTTTTGTAAGACTGCCATCTCACACAGACCCCTTTCTTGTTCAAGCTGCAGAGGAGCATTGCTCCAAGGTAACTGAAACTTCCATCATTCAATCTATGTCACCTGTAAGTTAGCTCAGAGAGGAGTATAGCTGCAGGCTGTTATCAGAGAGCTGGTGACAGCTGGTGTGTTTCAATGATGAGTTTGTTTTTTTAAGCCAATAATGGATGATTTTTCCGCAGGTGTGTTATCCACAATTTATATTCTAATTTGATGGCTTCCTGAAAGAATGAAATTAATCTCTGCGGTGTCACAACTGACAATTGTGACATGGTATTTGATTACTTTTGTCATTGCAACACTCCACATCTTTCTACGTTATATAATGGACTACCTTATTGATAATGCACAAACTGGATTATAGATTATACATACAAGATAATAAGACCAAATCCAAATAAATGAAATGTACTGAAAACTAAACTGAAAAGTACATTAGTACTTTTGTCTGAAGATAGTAACAATGTTGTTACTGAAACGTCACACACTATTTATTTGGATTTGGTCTTATTACCTTGTGTTTATAATCCATGATAACAGTAACTATTTAAAACATGCTGTGTTAAA